CACCCCTCCTTATTTAACAAATAAAATCCTAGGCATGGGCTATTCTATTTGTCATTTGCACCCCTCCATAGTTAAATAAAATCCCAGGCATGGGCTATTCTATCTGTCATTTGCACCCCTTCATAGTTAACAGGACACCTCATACAAGTCTAATACTCGGGTGTCGTATTTAATTATCAACTTCCCTATTGCCAGTGTATTGTGTGGATGCTGCTGGGAAGCTCAAGCCTAGAATAAACTACATGTTATCAGAGTACATATATCATGATGAGACGAAGAAAATGATAGTCATAAACAAATCTCTAAGAGTATTCAAATAATTACACACAAGTTCAAAGCCCATATAGCAGCATAAAGTAGCACTAGATTTGAAATAGATGATTTTCCATTCACCTTGGGATCTCGTATATTGTGTGAAAGACGAAGACCAAACATCTGTCACAAAAATCGAACGATTTGATTTGAAATTTATGTTTATTTTTTTATAGCTCAATATCGCAATGGCAATCCTTGAGAGGGGAATATTGCGTTGAAATACCATTACTTCATCAGAATTAATTATCATCCAATGTGTATAGCACATTATTAAGTGTGGAAATCCCCAACAATATTTCTGCGTTTGATGAACCCCACGCGATGTTTGGGAGCCACTACAATGCTATGACCTTTGTTTGTCCTGTTTTTTTCATTTGATTTCACGCACAACACAGGATCTCGCAGTCAACGGAAAATGGTCTATTAAAATCTGCTACTGAACAGAGTAAATTTCACAATATTACTCTTGGTTGCTCTGGTCAATTAACTGTAAAAAAAATAATTCTTCAATCAGTAGTGCTCTTGCTTTGGATTAATAATGATCATAGTGCCACAGAAAAGTAAATTATTTATAAGCAAGCTTGCAATTTGGAGAGCTTATGATGAAGGAATATATGTAATTTGACCATTGCAATAGAGCGTAGAGGCAAATGGCTGCCGGGATGTTCTTGAGTGAGAATCTTGAGATTTACTCGTCTCTCAAATAGCGTTTCGTCCTCCCCAGTCATCACATCACATGCACCGTTTCAAACACCATGGTTACAAAGGTCAAAAAAACAAGATGACGAGAGAGAATGTAAGACTATATAAGAGGCAAAAACAAGCCTTGTGGCACAAGATTGCAGTGACAATTTGTAAATCAGGCCGAGTTATAAAATATTAAATATCAAGAAACTCAAGACTGACAGACACTGCATGATAGTATATAGTGTTTATATTGGAATATTAGTACAGAAGGAACACAAGCACATTTCCATGTCATTAGCACTTCATTTGTTTCAGTCCACAAAAATCCTATGGACCCAGTAACAAGAATGATTTTATTAATACTGGTAGTGCAGTTTTAGGGTGTGAAACATCACATCAAGTGCCATCTAGTGAGATGCAATGTTCCAACTGATGAAAATGATATAGTACACTTGCAAGTATAGCTAAAAAAATTAAAGTATCTGGAACAGGGGAGCTATTGCTATATCAGGATTATTTTTACAAAAATTGTTAATCACTAATAATTAGAATTCAGGAGTGGTGTTATTTTTGTAATACTGTAAAATACTTTCTTTTAGCTGAAATCTTCGCGGAAAAGATATTTTCGGTGTTTTGTATGGATTTTATTTTCACTGATTTTTGACAAGTTGAATGTAAAATATAGGAAAAAAGGTATATTCGCTGGATTTTATTTTCACTGAATCGTTCCTTCAGCGAAAATAAAATCCAAACGAAAATAAAGTATTTTACAGTATGCAAGAATGAATGGACAAATATGACAAACATCAACGACGCAGATTTATGTTGCAGGTTCAATTTACAGAACATGGAATTTGTGGTTTTACACAATGACTTTTTTTATCAGGTTTCATATTAATAAATTGTCACACTTATCAGATAAATAAGGATATTGAGGTGAAGATTTTAAAGAGCAGTGGTTGTTGCACAGTACATGTTTTAATTTCCATGTAAACAAACAATGCATTTTACATGCTTTGTGTAAGTCAGTACGAGTCCCATATCGAACACGACTCAGTGAGACGACCACCACCCTTTAACTTCATATACACAAGTTAAATGTAAAATCAAATATTTCATCAATGCAGTATTACTAATATATATAACAATATGCTAAAAAATTAAAATATTAAAAACTTTGCAAACAAACTTCTACCTATACCAGGATATAAAATAAATAAAATAATCTCCCTATAAATCAGGCAATCAATGGCAGGTAATTTCCATATTTAAATTTTTTTCACAGTAATTTTACATTTTATAGTATTTTTTTATAAAATCTAAATTTAATAATTATAAGGCCATTCATTTATCTGTCTGGTAAGAGCCATTATAATCTGACAGATACAAGAATTCACAGCAATATCTTGTCAAATGGAATCAAAATTATGGTTCAATCAAGAAGAAAAAGCACACACTCCTTATTTGGAATTTGCATTTCCTAATAAGGGGATAATAACCCTATACAGAATGTGGCGTAAACTACAGTACTTAGTAATTTTGGAGATACCATGTCTAATGTATATAATATTACAAATACAGGCAAGCATTATTTGATGAGGACCTTATTTACTGTTAACGCTTTAATTTTGCAAAAGACAAATTTTCACGACTTTGGCAAAACAACGAGATCGGCAAAATTTGGTACCAGTGAAAATATCTCAAGTGTCCTAACGACACGGATTGTCAGTGACTTTTGTGAAATCCTGATATTCTGTAGTAGTTTACGGTATGTATACAGCACAAGTAAAATAAATTGATTACATGAAACTTTCACATTGACGGACAAATAGAGGACAACAAAAATGGCATTACTCTTTCAAAATAGGTAGATGTTCATTTAAGCGAGATGAATCATGGGATTATCAACGTCCACAAAGCATATGTTCAGTAATTAAGAGTGTAAACACAAAATCTACATGTTCCTAGTCAATATTTTTATAATACTGTAAAATACTTTATTTTAGCTGGAATTAATTTTCGCTGAAAAGACATTTTGTATGGAATTTATTTTCACTGATTTTTGACAAGTTGAATATAAAATACAGGAAAAAGGGTATGTTTGCTGGATTTTATTTTCACTGAATCATTCCTTCAGCGAAAATTAATTCCAAGCAAAAAGTATTTTACAGTAGTCTGATTGGGTATACTCATTCATGGCAGCGTAGACCATTCTGAACAGAGTATGCGAAGCACATATTGAAAAAAAATATATTTTACACACATTGTATTTTGTTACTTGAAAACCACATCAAAATTGACACCTTGCAGTAACAGTGGTGGTTTATCCCTTTGATCAATATTTTTTTCCTTGCCAGATTTTTCTATTTTTACGCATTTTTTGAAATTATTTTTTTTTGCAATGTATGAGAAATTCAGCATGATTGCACTTGCAGCAGACAAAAAAACAGAAGTAAATTAAAATCAGTAATTATGCTGAGTATTATTCACAGCAATCAACAAAAACACTGCATATTTATATGATCTCCTGAACAAAAAGGAAAAAGCGAGGTAGAACCATGGATGAATGCTTATAACTTACTATTTGAAAGTTGAATTTGCCTCAACACTGGAGCACAGAAGAAAACAATTAATCACCAGTTAACAAGTACTCTTTCATTCATTCATGATTAATCAGCAGGATCCTTGCACGTTGATGAATCAGGATTTCTCCATGGCCTCAATATAGCTCTTTGTTTTTGCAAGTAAAAAATTACGCTTACCTACAAATTCTAGAAACAATTCCACAAAAACTATGCCCGTCTATAACTTCTCAGGTCGTATAACAAAATATGTGGTGCAAAAAACTGAACATTTCTTGATTGCTTTGTAAGACCAAACCTGATAATGAGTCAGGAACCTATGGCAACCAAGATTGGACGAATATCATTAGAATTCAACAAAATTTTGTCTCTACAACCAACTGCAAAGAAACTGAATAAATCGTATCACCTTTACAAGCGCCTGACAATTGAAATGATTTACAGTTAGTACTATACAGAGTTTGACTTCATCCAATAAACTTATTCTTAAGATGGTCCACAGGAGGAAGTAATGCCTTTCCATAATACTTTTCTTTTGTAGAAAATAAGATCAATAAGGTTGAAAACAGTCATTGTGTTTTCTCAAGATGACCTGTACTCTGTAAATTGTGCTAATCTTTGCTGCAGCCATATTTATGAAAGACGTCAATTTAAAAAAAAAAACAATTTTGTGGTTGGGGAAAACCTGCATATAAGTTTTGAAACATGGATCACGAATATTGGAAATACAAGAAACATGACAACTTGCAATTTTTGAAACCTATTTTATGACCCATGTTCCACAATGTACAAGTTTTTAATTTTCCAGTAGGTACGTTACCGAGTGTGTTCATACCTATTTCATTTATGACCATTCATTTGGGAGACCAGTTATCTCAGTTTTTCACCAGTTTAATAGATCTCTATGGATGCCGCCCCTCAAATTTTTCTTAGTATGTATTCCAAAAAATCATGCAAATCATCAGTTTTCTTGCAAGTGTGTATGAATAAAATATACATTTTTTGTATTTTGCGAACATTTCATAAATTTTCACAGCCAACCTACAGTACAAAATAAAAATGTTTGGTACAAAACCACAGCTGGTATAGTAAAAATATCTGCAATCAGGGATGCAAAAACGTCTCTATTCTCTCCCAGTATTCCAGAAAATCAACAACACAGGCAAGAGATGTAGAGATTTGCATGACTTGCAATCAACCAAATGATCATCAATGTTATCATGATTACCCAACTATAAAAAGCCTTACAAAATTGGACTTAATGAAGAGAAAAGTAACCACTCTTTGCATTGGTTAATTAACAAAATATGTCACCATAAATCAGCCAATCAGTGCACGTCTTCCAAAATATTGCTGGTCATCTGAATAACAGTCAAAATAATTTTCTTTCATATAAAACAATAAGGCATATCTTGTCTACTTGTTTGTCAGTCGATCAATAAGCTCCTGAAGTGGCGCAAGCTCCCTCCTATCAATCAGCTGGAATTCTTGAACGAAGAAAACAAAATGTTTGAAAGACGTATTGAGATGGGCTTCTTCTTGTAAATTGATAACTTCCTTGAAATGTTGATGGTAAATGTGAGCGTACACACGGAATAATCTTTTGAGGATGATTTTTGCAACTGATAAGAAATTCTTCGGGAACGGAACACCTATAAGAAAAGAAGATGTTATTAGGACGACCATTGTGAATTCAGTAATTTTACATTGATTTATTATATGTCATCTTTTTTGTGATTTCATTATTACAGATTATTGGCATTACGTTACCAAAATTAAAAACAAAAGAATCAAGTCAAAATTCTTAATATCGATGCTGCTAAGAATTTATGCTAATTGATGATTTTATGGCACTTGTGAAGATGAATTCTCAGCGTAGGAATCCAGAAAATTGTCACTGCTCCAAAATTGGACCATTTTCACTGACTCATAAAACTATGACGGCTTACAGTCTACAGTGAAGGGAATGTTTTACCAAATAAATGGCTGATTATTGAGTGTATATTCATCCATTTAATAACAATATCTAACCTATTTTAGATGGGAATAACATCTCATCATCTAACTGGTCTTGAACCCACGTCATTAAATAGTCTATATACTTAGGAGCAGAGCACTTGATTGGTTTCTTCACGGTCGTTCCATCTGCCCAATGGTATTCATATCTAAAACACAAATATACTTAAATAAAGTAACATGTATATTACTTAACAGCAGTGTAGAACCATGTCAGATGCCGAGTGTGTTTGAATTTAAACTCCTTATGGGACGGACGAACAGTTTTCATCCTGGCAATTGCAAGAGTTCCTTAGGGCCCCCTCACCCATAACTTATCGCTGCTCCTCCAGTGCTCCTATCACATTTTATTTGTTATATGCCTCTCTTAACAATATTTATTGTTATCTGGAAGGGCGTATGCAATTACATTAGGGGGCTAGCGTGTTAGGATTAGGGTTCAGGTTAGGGATATGGCCTTCAAGGAATTTTTTCCCTGACAAATATTCAGGGCGACCTCAAGTCAATCTGACTTGGATCCAATGCTGCTTATTTTCTCATAATGGCAGTGGATTTCAAAATCACTATTTAGTGATTTTAAGCACAAAAATAGTTTATTTTACTCACTTTGGTCCAGCAGACATAACTGGACACGTTTCTGGCATACAGAATTCTGTTATTGTACCATATAACATATTTATCTGGTTGAAGAAATCTACAGCTGTAAATTAAACAAATATTAGTTTATTTAATATGAAGAGCGCCCTCAGGCAGAAAGTATCATTCCGATAACCAGCGAGGGCGCAGTCATAAATAAATTTACACCTACATTCGTGCACACAAGGGCACAAGTACAATAACATATTTTAAAGGGACAAGTACTTTACTAAATGAAACAGACCCTTTCATTCTCCTTTCATTTTTAATTTCAACAACCTTCATACTAGATATCATGTAACAGTATTACGTGTTCTCATCGTTATAACAGCCAAAGGCAAAATAGACAGTCACGTTTTCAATATATTTATTTAGATTATATATAGATTGTGCATGGTTTCTCTCAAAACATGTACACCTAACGAGGGAATGCCAGACATGAATATTTGTCATTAGTTCTAGAATAACTTGCCACTAGTAAGAAAATATTAAGTGCATCTGGTCTTGTCTGGCTGGCTGGCGAGCTATAAATGACTCTCCCGACTACAGTATTATGAAGATACATTGTATGTGAATAAAATCTCTTCCAAATGGTCTGAATTGGGAGAATGATGAATAGCTCTTGCTGATCCCGGACACACAAAATAAAACACTAGTTATGAATCAAACAAAATGCTGAACGTATGTGACCTTGTATGACCTTTATCAAAGTCTGAGTAAAATCAGCCAAGGTCTGTCTGAGGTGGGTAATAACATATGTGCCAATAAGATAGTTTGCCACAATAGTGGTTCAGACAACCCTATATGAATATTGATATACTGTAAAACATCAAGTATGTTATATTCCAGTTACCATATTCACCCTATTAGAAGTGCATCTCAAACAGAAGCACATATAAACCAAAAATTGCATTGGCTGTATACAATCTCTGTAATTTACATAAAACTATGTGCTACTAATAGAGAAAATACAGTAATTTAGCTTACATGTACAGTGTATCGTTGCTAAATCTGAATGTTGTTAATTCAGCTAAAAGTAGGAATTTCCATAAGGTCTCCCTAATGTAATACATCCAAAGACCAAGTGCAGTAGGATATGATTTGGGTTAAAACAGAAATAGTTTGAACTTGGGAAAGGATTGATACAGTGTGTGAACAACCCTTGTTGGATTTAATTATTTTAAATGTCATCACTTGGAGTTGTACTCTGACAGCATTTATAGAGCTTTATTAAAACTAATATGTGGAATATTTGATGAGCAATAATGTAATCACACTTCTATTTTAAAAACACTTTTAAAAAAAGCAAATGCTGTATGTATCCTTGTTTCAGTTTCACAGTGAAAAAAATAGTTAAAAAATAGTGAAAATTGTGAAAAATGATAAATTACACAAAAACAAGACTCACTATTCACAGCTATCCATTCATTGAGGTCCTCTCCTTCTGGCAGTACGACAGCTTGTCGAAGATTCCCACTTCCGAGTGTAGCTTCAGCATGTTTCATTAAATCATATTGGTGAGTTCCTTCAGGAATGTGCTTCTTTGGTTTGAAAGTCCTTGCAGATCGAGTTGAACTAGAAAATAATACATGCATGTATTAATTAATCAATTAATTAATTAACAAGTCACTGTAAATGACAGTAAAGATAATAAATGTATACAGAAGCAGAATCTAATTAATCTGTATTTGATTAAAATTTTAATTACTTCATTACAGCAATAAAATATTGATATCAAACACACTAGATAAATTAAACCTTTGCAGCATTGACCTTAGAAACTTGCTTCTGTTCTGGTTTAATAAATGTTCAAATTTCATTTGCATAGGGGTGTTTATTTTGCCACGTAACTGTTTGATTCTGTAGCTCAGATTGCTGGGAATCAGCCAATAAATTGCGCAAGCTAGAAATCTACCCCAAATTTCTGATTAGGCAAATGTCCAGAATTAATAGCGAGATGATTTAGACAATAGCCTTCATCATTGAATGCCATAATTTTTTCCCTTAAAATATTTTGCACAAATTTATGTATTTTTGTACAATATACCTCTTAAACACTTTTGTAATAAATGAACATTATTTTAATTTTAAGACCTGATTAAACTATCTGAACAAATCAGGAAAAGTTTTATTAATATTTTGTGAAAGGTGAAAAAATGTAAAATTTTAAAATAAATATTTAACTTTTTACACAAATTTGTTCAAACATTTTGATCAAGATCAACAAAACATTATGTTCAATTACTGTGGAATACTTTATTTTCGCTGGAATTAATTTTCGCTGAAAAGGCTTTTTGGGCGTTTTGCTTGGAATTTATTTTCACTGATTTTTGATGAGATTAATGTGAAATATAGGAAAAAAAGTATATTCGCTGGATTTTATTTTCACGGAATCATCCCTTCAGCGAAAATAAATTCCAAGCGAAAATAAAGTATTCTACAGTAGTTCAAATTGATCAACAAATTATAGAAAAATACTCAAAAAAGGAGCAAATGTTGGAGGAGAAAAATTTAAGAGCTTAGAGGGTTACATTTCTGAGGCATGTCACCGGATGGTTCCAATATGGCCCTGGTCATCTGAAGGCTACAGAGGATTATCCTCTAGTTTACTGATAAGTATAGCAAGATTGCGGCTCAAATAATAAAACTATTCACATATATGTACGTGCAACAAATGATAGACTTAATCTCGTTGTAAACATAAATTCCTTATCTAAACTGTTCTATTCACACATCCATACAGCTAGCTCATTTATCCTGTTCACATCTTACGAAAATTGACAACACGCAGATCAAACTGCGGCAGGGAATGGAACGGCAAATGAAAAAATGCAACGGAAATAAATGAACAATAAGCAAAATTAGAAGTAAAACAAAATTAATGTATTGCTTATAATGTGACAAATAAACCACAAATAATAAAAATCGACAGTGAGGAATCATTTGAATTAGGATTTTCCCGAGGACAAACACGTCCAATATGCGTGAACTCAAAATGAATTAAAATGTCAGGGGTTAAACTGCGTAAAAGGATTTCCGGTCTCGACAAATTACGAATCAACTGTCATACAAGATCAATAATAATTTACAAATTTACACAGTAAAAATTATAAAAATTCATAGCTGTTTTAAAACACTTCTCAGATCTTTATTTGTACGTTCATTGCCATCTTCCTCAAACTCAAAACCCTCAAAGTCCAAGTTGGCGTCACTGTAGCTGTTCCCTCAAAATCCCTACAACTTCTTCCTGAAGTTCGTCAATATCGTCTTCGGCATGATATTGCAAAATTGCTGGCCCCAGTTATGGATTCGCAAGCTGCTACCAAATATTTTATAAAGCCAAATTTGCTTTGCTTGAATCGTTTCTAAGGATGCACAAACCAAACGGCCGGCCCTTTTTAGGGCCACGACATATTTCAAAAAGAGAACTACCGTTTCTGCTTTAATATATATTTTTATAGGCTTGCTGACTGTTATGATTCTGAAAAAAATCAGCTGTGAACGCGCTGCCCTGAAGGCAGAAAGCTGTTACAGCTATTTCGCGTTCACCCCTAGCTTGTTTAACGCAATTAACAATTATATTTAAAGATTTTTTATAAGCATCACCAGACTTCAAGAGAGTCAACTGTTAATACAACCACAGTCAACGTTATTTTTTTTGTAGAAAAAAAACCCTGGGTGTGTGCCTGGATATGACCTCAACTTCTTTACTATGTCAAAAGTGGGGGGTGGGCCTTTGCCCAGGCATGGCCTACATATGCCTCTTGTATGAAAACACTTGTGTAAAAACAAGTTTATGAAATTCTTATTTTTATAATTACTGCTCACAACTTGCACTGGTGTAACATTTTCTAATTTTTGTTCATGATTTGTTGCAGTGGCACAAATTTAACGAATGCTACATAATAGTGAGCCAAAATACTGATGTATTTATTATTTGATTTCAGTATAATCTGTTTGTTGCATTTGTTTGTGCAAGTTATTTATCATTGTTTGGGAAAAAAAAGAACTCCAGATGATATTGCTATGTAATAACTCGTTGTAGTGAGTTTTATGGAGGTATACTAAAGGGGAACTGGCCGAGAAAGGTGTATGGTCGCTACTCGACACCCCTGTTGACACCTTGAGTAAGGCCTCCATCACCCATTGCATCTCAGTAATTGACGGATAGTAGGTGTTAAGTTGTCTCTTTAACGGTTAGTTAAAAACACTATGCCATGAAACATTAGTCTTTGTACTTCAAAACTGCCGTCAAAATACAATAGACATTTTGGGAGCCATCCAAATACCCGCAACTTGGCCGAATCGCGACTTACCGAGGCATGACTTACCCAGGGGTCACTGTATATGCAACAAACCTTTAAAATTTATAAAACAACCTTGCTTGCTTGCAACTGCTATTTGCTTGTCAGGAACTGATCAGGCCGTAACTAATAATAAAGGTGAATTACTGGTAGTCTAACAACATTATTAGGATTATGTATTAGAATAAACAGAAGTTCTCGTACGAAAACAGATTCTCCCACTCAATATTAGCATACAGCTATTGAAACTACTATACATGTATATTTAGAAACAGAATAGTAACCAATAATAAAGGTGAATTACTGGTAGTCTAACAACATTATTAGGATTATGTATTAGGATGACTTTAAAGTGGATAAACAGAAGTTCTCATACAAAAACACATTGTCCCACTCAATATTAGCATACAGCTATTGAAACTACTATACATGTATATTTAGAAACAGAACAGTAACCAATTGAGTTACCGGTAGTTTTAAAAATGTAGTTCCCTGTGCACATTATCTTGAGTTATAGTTGCAAGAAAATTGTTATTTGTTATAATAGAAAATGCAGAGTTTACAAAAAATGTATACCCCACTCAATCAGAGTCAGATGTATTAGCTCCATAGTCAGGGTAGAATCACAAGTTTTTTATAATTCTATCCATTACCAAGTTTTTGTTATTTCACATCTTTTCACAAAGTATCAGCAAATTTCTAAAACTTGGACAAAACTGTATTGATCAACATTGCTACTGTAGCACTCGAGATGATTAATCAGAGCCAAGACTGAAATTTGTTATTTTGTAAGACGTCTAAAATTATCGCTTGTCAGTTACAATAAATGTTACATGTAGATTGTAGTTACCTGTCATTTTGAATAAGAGTTGATGAAATTTGCATTACAGCATGACAGTTTAATTTTGTCAATATCAATTTTCTCAATCTAATTATATGAAGACATTCAGAAGGACAAAGTAACAGTGGATGCTGAAATAAACTGCCCAGGAAAACTCCCATTTTCCTTCCACACGTAACAGTACAAAATTACTAGAAACATCACTGAAATGAAATGAAATTGCATCTTTGTGATCAAGTAATAATTTCCTGTGTTAAAATGTAAAAAGCCCATAAAATTCAATAACTCACCAATTCGATATTATTTTGCTCAAAACCTGAACTTTTCTTTGAATTCAAATCCATAAAGTTTAATCCACTCACTATGTTTGAATTTGAGCAGCTTTCAATGCACTCTAGTTAGGCCAAATAAAAAAATATAATCCAACCTTGCCTAGATTTTTAAAGCTGACCCTACATCTTGTCATGGCCAGCCAGAAAAATTAGCACTTGTAGGTACACATTTTAATAGGCTCTACTAGTATTTAAAATTCTTCATTTTTAAACAAAATGTCAACCTGTACATGTAAGACATGGTGTATTATTGAAAAATACCCTCATACAACAGTATTGGCCAAGCTGCACGGAGGAATAATAAATTGAGAATAATTAATTAAGTTATTTCTACTTACATGTACTTACCCTATCTTTGCTTACAATGTTACCATACAAATAATTTTTATTTGGCATTATGAGTATGCCTTATTAAAATGGGTTGTTGAAATTGAAAGTACAGTACAGTAAAAAAATAACATTGACAATGTTCCTAAAAATATTGGAAAGTTGTTACATGTAGGAAGATTGATAGTGAGATAGCAGTTTTCCTGGTTGGTTTATTTCAACCCCCCACCCAAACACAGCTGACAATGTGTAAAAAAATATTGGAATGTTGGAAGGTATATTGATAGGGAGGTAGATGTTTTCCCACTGTACATGTTAATGAAAATTACCAAATTTACCAAACGCGAAAATATGTCTTGAAATTAAAGTGATATACAATGCATGTACATTATTCCAGAGTTTAGCATGTAGATCTCCTATGCTGGTTCAACACTAGCAGCTTTTACCAAAGTAGAAATAACAACATCATTATACCCACCAACATTCAAATCCAAAGATAAATGAAAATTCTAACTCTAAAACACAAAACAAATGATTGACTAACAATCAACAAGGACATTACACATCTAGTCCAATCAGTGATAGAAAGATATATGGATTCCCCATGGTAAACCACCATGCATGAAGTGATTTTTAATCATTTAAATAGAACAAGCATATCCTGCTCCACATGGAGCACTTTTCTAACTCCCCTGCAGGTTCATCTGTTGGCAGATAGTCAAGTCAATCAAGGTCATGTTAAAAGTGCAAAGACCACAAGTACATATGTAGTACATGGTGTTAAATAAACA